GGCAAAGTAGCCGATTTCCATCCACAATTGGACTCCGAAACTGGGAGTTCCTGGATATATCTGGTAATCGATCATCATTTTTGGTACCTGGGCTTATTATTTCATTAAAAAAGTTATATTTTTCAAAGTCCCGGACTTTGTCTATGGAAGTTCGCAGGGCTGTGGTGGGGACATCTATCAACCGAACGCGTCCCCGTACACACAGCACTGTACGCAGGGCTAGGTACTGTATATCCAATTAGTGAAAGAGAGAGCTAGTTCTATTTTATGTGAAACGAAATGAGGTGGAGATGATTACAACTGTTAATAAATTTGACATGCGGTACTGGCGGTACTACGTCCTTCAGAACTATAAAAAAAACTATACCATATGCTCTATGATGACGATGTAACTCGATTTGCTGGGATCAGAATGTACCGCAGTTGCGTGTGTCCTATATTGATGTTTTGTTTATATTGAGATACAAGTAAAGACAACTACGTACAATTTTTCAGATCAACTATTTATGAGTTTACTTGATTGCTACTAGCAGACAATCTTGTACCCCATACCCTCATTCAATGAATGCAGTTACCTGGCGTGTTCTCATATTCATTTCGCAACAGAATTATTTCTCTAGTTGTACATATTGAAATAAATAATATGTAAATTTCACTTTTGGCCACTCTACTTATACTATAAAGTATAAATTGTGAAAATGACTGTTCAAGGTTGATCGATTAGCACCCAACACCTTGAAGTTTGGCAGAACCTAGCTGTGATTTTGCAACTACAGGATCATATATTGTTGATCTGGATATTATTTGGGCTATCAAAATGTATCACTATATATGCTTATACTTGAAGTGAGTACTGTTCAAATGAACTGGTGAAAATAATTGCTAGAAAAACAAAAACACAGTTTATGTTGAGTACATCTAGGTAATAATATTAATTAGTGACTACAGAAGTTTTGACTCAATATATTTCTTTGTCCAATGTCAGTTTGTGAATCAGAATATGATAAACTTCCTTGTTAGGTGTGTGAGTATGAATCCAACCACAGGAAGTCATAAGGTTCAATCAAGGAGGAAACTTGAATGGTTCCTCTCTTTTGAAACTGTTCTTTCAAAAGTTTCCACACAATGAGTTGTTCTTGACAAGCTCCACTGAGCTTCCTATTTCATCATTGTCAAATAAGATTATAAGATATAGCTCTAGTTTCTTGTAATGATTACCATCAATACTTTCTTTCTATTTATGGCAGGGATTGTGGATACGAAGATCAAAGTTTTGGAGATTACGGTTCAACGATCAGTTCTGATTATCATGGTAATATGAACTGTGATAATAATGAAGTACAGGATTTTCATGAAAACAGACAAATAGATGATTTCACTGCAACAGATAATTTAAAAAATGTTAGAAGGGATCTGGTAGATTATTCTGGTGGTCGAAGTGGAAGCCGTTTTGACAACAGTTTCAATGAAGATCTCAGAGAACATGTTCAAAGTAGAAGTCAAGAACAAGAACAACAAGAAAGAAGTAGAGATTACCATAGCAGAGAGGATAGTCGTGATAGGGATCGTGATAGAAGTAGAAATTATCGCAGAGATAGGGATAGAGACAGATCTCGTGATAGAGACAGAGATCGTGATCGACATAGGGATAGGGATAGAGATCGTGACAGATATAGAAGTCAGGACAGAGACAGAGATAGGGACAGGGATAGAGATAGAGATCGGGACAGATACAGAGATGAAGAAAGAGATCGCAAGCGATACAGTGACCGAGATGATAGAAGAGAATCTGAGAGTAGAAGATACAGACAGGTTTGTGAAAAGTCATTTCCTGTTAATACTTTTTTTCAAGCTGCAATTAAACTGGATTAATTGCACATCAAAGACTGAGCACAATATTTTATTTAGATGTAGGAAATAAGAAAATTCTTGTTATTGTTTTCTCTATTGCAAACTGTTTCTTGTGGTTATAATTACTCAAGCAATTCTTGGCTGATAATTTTCAAACATGTTTTTGACATTGATCAGTAGAGATTAATTAATAATCATTATGCTATAAAATACAGTATACAAAACACCCAAATATTGTATTTTCAGCGAAAATTAATTCCAGCTAAAATAAATTATTTTACAGTGACTAGAATGTATAATTATTAAGATGTTCATAAAACTGTGTATACAATAAAAAATCACTTAACACTAACATTTAGAGAGAAAAAGTCCTGGTTGATTAAAATCAATTATTGTTGGGATGATTATGATTGATAGTAAAACCCAGACAGTAGGCATCATGTTTTCCAAATTAAATTTGATTGATTGAACTTTTTCTACTTTCATCTTTTATTACAGTCATCACATGAAGAAGACAGTGGTTACCAAGATTCTAGACGTAGCCCTGAAAAACAGAGCACAGTGATTATGTTAAGAGGACTACCAAGTGATGTTACAGAATCAGATGTAAGTAAATATCTTTTTTTTTTTTTTCACACCATTTGGGTTAACTATATTTTAATCAAGCCTAATATACAATTATAATTTTATGTACCGTACTCGACCGCGTTAGCACCCAGGGGCCTCAACTCAGAAAATCACGATTTTTTAGGGGTGGGCGCTTACCCGTGCACCCCCTTCGAAAAAGGAGTGCAAATGAAAATTTTGATTCATCATGTGACAGATTACGTCTTTGAGGGAAAATCAAATTAGTTGCGTCGTCATTGATTTTTACACTGAAAAAACAGAAATGATCACAAAAATATGCACATTTTATTACAATATTAATTATGTACCACCAGAATTTACGAAATTAAAAACATTAGTCTGTTGGAACACAGTCGAAGTCAAAATTCTCATCATTATCTCCACTGGTGTTGGATAGTACGCAAACTCTCGAAAATTACTTTCCGCCATGATGCATTTGCAGATTTGACCTGCAGCAGCGTCCTTTGACCTAATGGGTCAAGTTGGTTATTAACCAATTAAAATGCTGTGTTGTACCAACGCAATTCTTCGGAAATTCCCGAAGACTTTCTGGTAACGCAATGCAGAAGTGAATTATCAATGTCGAAGTAGGATCTGTTGGAATTGATTTCAGCGAATAAACGACATGGTTTTTCAAAAAAACTAGTAACTAGCCATTTTTGAGAGGTAAACTGAATTTGGCATATACCGGTAATATTTACGACATTTTACTTGTATTAACAGGTCATTGTCGAAGCGTAGTTTACACACTGTTACGGTGGTCTACGCATTAACATGTTCACAGCGGTCGATATCCACGCTATATCGTATAAAAACGATTACCGTTAAAGTCCTAATATAAACCGCATACGTAATAGTAACCGCACCCCCAATTTCGGCTTCGGGGTTAAAGAGTTCTTAAC